AGAGAGAGAGAGAGAGAGAGAGAGAGAGAGAGAGAGAGAGAGAGAGAGAGAGAGAGAGAGAGAGAGAGAGAGAGAGAGAGAGAGAGTCTTCCCCTATTCCCTCCATAGCGACTCATTCGCGCCTCCCTCCCTAGCGACCTCATAGTGCCATGTTTCCCACCTTCCCCCACAACGACCCCATAGCGACTATTTTCCCCTTCGAACGTAGCAACCCCTTCGCGTTATCTCCCACCACTCATCTTCTTCGTTTTTTTCTTCCTCGTCTTCTTCCTCCTTCTTCTTCTTCTTCTTTGTCCTGTCCTCCACAAACAATCACCATATCCGTCCTTTCTCCTTTCTTTTTTTTTCCTTGGGCGGGCAAGGGCACAGCCCCATTTCCCACCTTCCCCCGTACCGACCCCGTACCGACCGTTTCCCCCTTGCCGCCGTTATGTTCGAACTTTCAAACCTTGCACAAATGGCAGCCTTCAATTCACAAATGGAATGCGTTCATCGACTTCATCGACTTCCCTACGCCCCTCCACTGAACCCCAAGCTGTACCATAGTTGCGCCTACTCCACCATGATGCCACGTCCCCATCGCCAGCTTGTGATTCGGTAAGAGTATGTGCGTGTGTCTGTGTGTGTGAGTGAGAGAGAGAGAGGGAGAGAGGGAGAGAGGGAGCAGGGGAGAGTTTTTCCCCATTCCCTACATAGTGACTCATTGGCCCCCCCCCTCCTCCTCCCCCCCATGACCCCATAGCGCCATGTTCATCACCTTCCCCAACAGCGACCCTGTAGCGATTGTTTCCCCTTTCTGCCGTAGCAACCCCCTGCACGTTTTCCCACCACCCATCTTCTTCTTCTTCCTCCTCCTTCGGTTTTCTTTTTTTTTCTTCTTCCTCCTCCTCCTCCTCCGGTCTTCTTTTTTTTCTTCTTCTTCTTCCTCCTCCTCCGGTCTTCTTTTTTTCCTTCTTCTTCTTCGTCCTGTCTTCCACAAGCGGTCACCATATCTGGCCTTTCTTCTTTTCTTTTTTTCTTCCTTGGGCCGTAGCAACTCCCCTGCCAGCCATCTCCGACCACCCATATTCCTCTTCTTCTTCTTCTTCTTCTTCTTGCCCACTGTTTTGTACCCCCTGCCTGCCATATTTAAGGAATATGAGTGAGAATGATATACAGAAAGCCAAGTTGCAAAATCACACAGATGTCCAAGTAATCATCTACCAAGCAGAGAGTTGCGCCAAGATTCCATCCACATAAGAGCGTTACAATGAACTCATGAGCCAATGTTCAAGCCCTCAGGCCAAACCAACGCAGTATTCCAATGTAGCTCTTACTGTATGGCGCCCAGCGCCCTTCCTACTCTACCTAGCCTATCCTACTACAGCCACATTCACGCAACAGGCTCCTTCGACCTTGAAGACCAATGTACATGACGTCAACACCATAGTCGACCTCCCTCGTGCACCAGGTACGTATCTCGTCTCCCCTCATCACCCCCTGACCACCCACACTCCCCTCTTTCCTAAAGACCATCAATCGCCCTTTACACCCTTGTGCCCTGCAGCCTAGCTATGGTCGCTCGCGCACCGCTGCCCTGCAGCGCCCCTCTCACCTCTCAAGCGCCCGTATGCGCCCCTGGCCGCAATGCAACAAGCAGCCATTTGCAAAGCAACGCAGTAGCGTGTCCGCATTGGCTGCGTTGGCTAGAATGTCAGACCCTGACTGCCTTCCTTCCTATATGGAAGTGGCAGCCTTTGTTTGGCTTCATGTGGGCCTGGCTGAGAAACTCCCAGTAGCAGTTGGGCACCCATATATGGAGAAATGTCAAATTTTGGCCTTTTGTGAATATTCAGGCCCGCCTTCACTTAGGGCGGGCATAGGGCTTACTGAGGGCCTTTGCCCAGAACATGTGCATGTCTGATAAGGGCCCCACGAGGGCTTATTCCTCGCATTCCATCCCCCTTAGCTTTGAAAGTCCGCTAAGATGGTTCATGCATGTGCCTTCTCCTTCAGTCTTCGTTCGTACTTAGCCACGATCTGAGGAGCTGTCTTGACGAGTTCCTCTCTTGTGAACCAATGATCTTCCTTAGGATCCGTATGATGCCTGGACCGAACCCAATATTCTCTCATAGGTTTAGGCGGTCTTCCTCGGCCAGGTGGCTTGGGAACAGGCATGTCTCTGTGTTCCAGAATATCGTCAATGTCCACATGGCCATCCATGGTTGGGGGAGGCATTGATCTCCTTGATGGGAATTGTTGTGTCTCGGCAAAAGGTGCAAGCTTTGAAGCATGAAACACAGGGTAAGTGCGCACATGACTAGGGATTCTAATCACGTATGAGGGACGATCCAAATCACTACCTACAATATCTAAGACTTCCCAAGGACCGAAATACTGAGGCA